AACATCACAGAGTAGTCATCCCATCTAGGACCGGGGTTGACAATTAAAGCGAAACCCGCTATACCACGCATTAGTAGGTGGTTACACTTGGCCACTTAACCTTGGTTGATGATGTTGCGTGTGAATGGTTGAATTCGGATTATAGAACAGGGTTACACATTGGATAGGGGACTGGAGCAGGATGGGTTGGTCGTCAATGGCATGATATCGTAGTGGAAGAGTGATGCGATATCGACTCGCACAATATTCAATTCCCGTGGTCCAAAAATGAAGATTCGAATTCGACGATTTAAGTATCAACTGGGAGCATTCTTGATGGATAAATGGAGATGCATTAAGGATTGGGCCTACAACATTTCTTGGAGCCCAAAACGTCCATACTTGCTGCCCAAGTCATCCAAATCTGAAAAGGACAAGGAAAGAGATTGCTTAACCACTAAGGAGCTTCCTTGAGCATTAAAAACGTGTTTGGAGATTACTTAGCTGCTAAGGAGCTTCCTTTGGTCATAAAAACGAGTTATAGTCCTTATTTAAGTAGTATTATGTTTCCTAGTTAGTTTGGGATTTGTTTTCCTATTCCTTTTAGGTTAGTTTTATGTTTTTGTGACCTCTATAAATAGAGGATGTAAGAGCTACGAATTTTGTACCCCCAACATTCAAGTTTCAGCAATCGAATACAAGTGTTTACAAGTTCAAGTGAACGTTTTGCTTATTCGCTCCTTTGAGGATTCAGGAGGTTTGAGTGGTCTCTTATCAACTAGAGAATGCGTCTAGTTGTGGCGAGCATCGACGATATCGGTTGGCCTCTTCCACGGGTTCGAGATTGTTTGGAAGGTTTCATATACCTTCTGGCCCTTCTCACGAGTTCGGATTTGTTTGATCGATTCCGCAAGTATCTTTACTTTCGTGCTATTCAAGAAAGGCGAAAACCCAAAAAAGAGTTCGACGTTGTGCAATTCTGATTTTTGGTCCAAGTTCGAGGGTCTCTTCGAATTAGGGTCATATCAAGTGGTATCAAGAGCCCGGTTCAAACTCAGTGGCGATTTGAGGATTGCTGGTTCAAACTCAGCGACGAAGGTGTGTTATACGAATATCCTTTACTTTTAGTTTTTATTTTTATCGTTTGATTATTGTTCCAGAAAAGCCAAGAAAAATATTTTATCACTAGAAAAAGGCATATTGGAAAAAAAACGTTAGCAAAAAAAAAAAGTAGTAAAAAAAGGAGTTGTAGTGAAATTTTTATTCTTGTTCTTTAATTGTTCACGTGAGGAAAAAAATAGGTGGCTACATTAAAAAAAAAAGAGAGAGAGAGAGTTGTTACGTGAGACAACAAAAAAAAAGGAATAATATAGATATATTTTGTGTTTTGTGTCTTTGTGGTTCTGTTTAATTTTTCGATCAAGCAATAATGGTGGAGAATCAAGCGAATCAAGACGTGGCGGCAATATTCCGACACATCAGCGCGCAAATAGAAGCTTATCATCAAGGGCAAGCACAAATAAATGCAAGCCTTACTCGGTTGGCAATTTCATGGGGAAATAGTGCGTCAGCCGTGATAATCCAACCAGAAGCTCCGTTGAAGATAGGGAATCCAAATCCAGAGCAAGAGGCTGCCAGTACAAGTTCAGTTGATGTTGATAAAAGTGATGCTTCTTCAAGCTCAATCCATGGCGAGGAAGTTGAGGTAGAAGTTGAAGTCGGAGAAGAGAAAAAGGATGTTATTGTTGATGAACTTACTATGGTCACTTGTGAAGAGGATTCACAAGCTTTGATTTCATGTCAAGAAGAACCAGAAAGTGAAGTAGAAGAATTAGAAGAGGCAAAGGATGTGAAAGAAGGTATTCTTGTTGCTGTTCCCGATTTGAGTATGCCAGAAGTTTATCAATTCGATGAGGAACCAGAATTCGATCAACGAGAGGCAGCCCGCTTGGAGAATCGACAAGAAATTCAGCGCTTTGTAGAGAGCTTTCATCACAATGGTGTCTTTACAACTCGTGGTCGAATTGTCTTGAATAAGGGGGGAATAATACGATCCTTACTACCAAGACAATTTTGTTGGAAGGTTTCATATACCTTCTGGCCCTTCTCACGAGTTCGGATTTGTTGTATCGATTCCGCAAGTATCTTTATTTCGTGTTATTCAAGAAAGGAGAAAACCCCTAAAAAGTTCGACGTGTGCAACTCTGGTTTTTGGTCCGATTTGGGAGGATTCTCGAATTAGGATCATATCAAGTGGTATCAGAGCCTGGTTGAAGATAGGGAATCCAAATCCATATCAAGAGCATTCTTTTGAGGCTACCATAGAGACACAAGAGACAAGTCCAGAAGTCTTTGACATCAAGATTCAAGCAATTCAACATAAAGACAAGGAGGAGTATATTGAAATCTCGACTATGGAAGGTCGACTTTTGGATACTTGTTGTAAAGAGTATGAAGATTCCGATGAAGTAGAGGCGATACAAGATATTCTTGTTGAAGTTCCATATTTGAGCGCGCAAGAAGTTGAGCAACACAATGAGGAACAAGACTGTCATGGAGAAGATGAAGCAACGAAAGTTATGGAGCACTTACCAATAGTTTCCAAAGTTGCTCATATGGATTTTGTGATTGGAGATACTATTTCCAAAGAGGAAGCCCAACTAGAGAATCGACGAGAAGTTCAGAGCTACATGGAGGGTTTTCATCGCAATGGTGTCTCTACAATTCGTGGACGAATTGTTCTTAAGAAGGGGGGAATAATACGATCCTTACTACCAAGACAATTTTGTTGGAAGACCAAGAAGAATGGAGGTGATCGGAGATCAAGATTCTGTAAAGATTCGAGGTCGAATCTTCTTCAAGAGAGAGAGAATGATGCGATATCGACTCGCACAATATTCAATTCCCGTGGTCCAAAAATGAAGATTCGAATTCGACGATTTAAGTATCAACTGGGAGCATTCTTGATGGATAAATGGAGATGCATTAAGGATTGGGCCTATAACATTTCTTGGAGCCCAAAACGTCCATCCTTGCTGCCCAAGTCATCCAAATGTGAAAAGGACAAGGAAAGAGATTGCTTAACCACTAAGGATCTTCCTTGAGCATTAAAAACGTGTTTGGAGGTTACTTAGCTGCTAAGGAGCTTCCTTTGGTCATAAAAACGAGTTATAGTCCTTATTTAAGTAGTATTATGTTTCCTAGTTAGTTTGGGATTTGTTTTCCTATTCCTTTTAGGTTAGTTTTATGTTTTTGTGACCTCTATAAATAGAGGATGTAAGAGCTACAAATTTTGTACCCCCAACATTCAAGTTTCAGCAATCGAATACAAGTGTTTACAAGTTCAAGTGAACGTTTTGCTTATTCGCTCCTTTGAGGATTCAGGAGGTTTGAGTGGTCTCTTATCAACTAGAGAACGCGTCTAGTTGTGGCGAGCATCGACGATATCGGTTGGCCTCTTCCACGGGTTCGAGATTGTTTGGAAGGTTTCATATACCTTCTGGCCCTTCTCACGAGTTCGGATTTGTTTGATCGATTCCACAAGTATCTTTACTTTCGTGCTATTCAAGAAAGGCGAAAACCCAAGAAAGAGTTCTACGTTGTGCAATTCTGATTTTTTGTCCAAGTTCGAGGGTCTCTTCGAATTAGGGTCATATCAAAGAGGCCTGGCCAGAGGTAGCGATCATCACGAGAAATGTCGTGATAAAGCGATGAGGAGAGAGTTGCCTAGAATTGAAGCATTATTGGAATAGTTACGGGAGCAGTGACTAAGACATGGGAATTTGGGAGAATGATGGGTTTTACGGGATATGGGTATAAAGGAATTTTAGTTGCCGTGGTTAAATTATGCTTTTTAAGTGTTTTTAGTCACTAGTGCTAGTCCGTTTTCATTTGAGATTTTAAGATAGAGCAGCAGTTATGTTTTTTAGACTTTTAAAATGAGCAGCAGTTATACTCTTAAGAATCGTGGTGAAGAGCCACCACAATAAGTTTAAGATGTTAGTGGGATAAATCATTACGACTTTCCTAACTACGTTTAAGTTTAAGGAAAATCTGGATGGCTTCTCATACGTATGAGTTGCGCAATTGGATTAGCTAGTGAGGAATCCCCGTGTCACTCAAGTATTCAAGTAGAGATTTGAGCTTTAAGAATGGAGAGTAAATGTTGCTCATGTACAACTTTAAGAGTTAAGATTTTTTTTAGAGTGGAATTATAAACAACTTCCACCAGTTTAAGATAATTGTCTTAAGTAAAGTATTCAAGTACTGGAGATTTAAAACGTAAGGGCATAAACTGACCCCATCTCACTCACTAGGCCTTAGTAAAGGAATGAGCGAGAACCAGCAGCTAGCAGTTAGTTAGAGAGCAGCGAGATCGAGAGAACGGTTCGAGGCAAGCCAACTAGAGGAGGACGGTTCGCACGTCACGAAGGATGCCTAGTCAAGGTTTTCAATAAGCGGCAGCATTAGATACTTCTTAGTTATTGCATTTTATGATTATGAGTATAGACTGGAGATTCATATTAAAATTTTATGATTGAAGTTCGCCCAAGTGTTAGGGCTTTGTTTTAAGAAGTTATAGTTTATTCTCAGTATTTGTTAAAGTTATTTATGAAAAGTTTTCGCTATTTTCTTAAGTATTTACAGTTCTTATTTGTTTCATGATTTATAAAGGGTATTTTGGTAAAAGTAGTACCCGAATGGGTTATAATTTCATGGTTTATAAAGAATATTATAGTAAAAGTAGTACTCGGCCTAGTTAGAGTGTTACAATATATATATATATACAAATCCGATCATTTACATATTTCTTATACATGATAACAACAGAACCAAATTCATTTCACTGAAGAGAATGAGAAGGGAAGTATATGTATTACCACATATATATAGGTCTAAACTGATGAATGTACGCACATACAACTCAAATCAAATTAAGAGCAAACGAGCAAGCAAGCGAGAAATTAAGTAAATATAATTTGGCAGAAATGTATAATATAGCAAGGAGTTGGCAATGAAACTCAAATCCAGGTGGGGGTATTCCTTCGAAAGATTCCAAAGCCGTAAGTGGAGTTGAAAATTTCAAGGAGCACGGGAAACTGTAGCTTGATGAACAAGGTAACGGGAACAGAAGCCATCAAAGTAATTGGGAACACAAAGGCCATGTTTCGGTCCATAACGATTACGATGGTGGCACAAAAGGTAAGCATCATGGCTGCGATGGAAACGAAGAGTGCCGACAATCCGATGATGAGCTTGGTGGGAAGGGAGCGGAGGAAGTCCTGCTCCGAGTAGCGTGACGTGAAGATTCCGAGGAACATCAGCACGGAAGTAGAGGCCGCAAAGAGGGAGATGGAGTCTGACAGGATGAAGACTCGGAACCACCTGTCCTTCAGAAAATTGGGAAGGCCCGTTTTGTCGTCGCTGCCTCCCGGAGGTGTGAACGCGGCGGTGAACATGATGGTGATGATGAGCGCTGCGACAACGGAGCTGGAAGTGGCGGTTTCTTTCATCCACTTCTCACCTGCAGCGGCCAGATCTCTATGTGTTCTTGTAAATATTTGCCTTGCCGTTTCGCCTTCCTTGTTGGTGTTCTCCTTGTACATTGGGTTTATCACACGCTCCACTTCCTCAAACCATTGCAACTCCCTTTGCATCTGAAGAGCCGCACCAGAGATGCGAGAGAGTTTGGTTGAAGGAGACAAGACTCCAGCCATGTGCAGCATGGTGTTGCTGTCCTTGTCTACCAAGGAGACGATGGATGCCTTCTCTGGCAAAGGATAGAGAAGGTTAAAAATCTTTTCCTGCCGATACTGGACCGCGGTCATGAACACGCTTCTGCCGTCCTTGTCAAACTTGTGCAACAGCGCAGGGCAAGCCCTAATGGCCTCTTGGACGAATTCGACTATGCCATTCTCGATTGCTTTGTGGAACGCTTCAAATACCCCATGGCTCCTAAGTGTCCCAGAGTCAGGGGAGATGGAGGACATGTGTTGGCATGTAAGCCTTAAGAGCTCAGCTGAGCAGATGTGGACCCTTTTCAACTCATTCAGCGTCTTTGGTCCTGAGATAATTATAATAATTAGCAGGGAATGCATTTGAAAACTAAGAGAAGCAAGAAATTAACAAGTAGTTGAGCTGAAAATTAATTAAGGCATCCACACACGCACCTGATATCTTTATCATGGTTATATGGTGGTTTGTTTTGGTGGATGGCGCGTTATTAGTAGGGCTACCTGTAAGTCTATCTTTTTCATGAGGTGAATAAGGAGGCATTTGTCCACTTTCAACATCTAGTGATGTACGATTAGCCGCGTGCTCGGAAGGCTTCAGAGGAAGTGGCAGCGTTACATGTATCACTGTTTAGTAAGTAATCAAGTAAAATACATATAGTTATCAATTAAGAGAAGCCGTTAGTACTCATATTAATTTAAATGAATGATGGTAATGAAGATATACTACTAACATGAATATATCCATCGTTGCCAAAAGTGAAGTCGAGTCCCGCTGGGGAATGCATGGGGCATGAGAGATAGCTGGATAGCAGCGTTAGAGTTTTTGGCATCCTTGATGGTCGCCAGGTCTGGGTAGCACATCAGCATATCCACTGCAATGTCTGTATGCACGTACCAACGTACCCACATAATATTAGCTGGGTAAAATTTTATATATTAATTTCACCATTTACTATAATGACAGAATAAAGAGGTAGGTATGTACCGAACATCTGGGCGAGGATACAACACTTGAGAATATTGGAGCCCAACTTGCCACCGTCAACCCTGTAAAGCCAATAAATAGAAGTTTGAGAGTAAAGGCAAGTGGCGAGTTCCTTGTGGTTCTTGCCACAGGCCTCTCTCAAAGGCGTCATCTGACGTTTATTCACCATCCTCAACAACTTGGGGTTCATCTGCACCATGCGCTCCGCCAGCTGCTGCTGCCCACTCGCTGCCGCGAAATGCAAGGCCGTGTTGCCACCAGCGTCCTGGAGCTCCAGGTCCGCACCGTTCATGTTCTTGAGAAGCTCCTCCACCATTTCCCAATTCCCCAGCTTGGCAGCCAGATGGAGCGGCGTCCGATGCCGCGGCGGGAACTTGTGGCTCATCAACTGCGGATCAAAGTCATTGCTCCTGATTCTTTCTATCTGACCTTTGTGAACCGCTTCGTGCAGTTTCCAGTGCTCCAACTTCATGTCCACCTCGGGGATCCTCCTTTCTGCAAGTGTGTGGATCAAAGGTCGTATTGGAAAAATTAGATCAAAATTAAATTTCTCACCCACAAGATCAAATGCATCGTAACAAGTTATGCAAGGGTATAATTAATTAGATTAAATTCAATTTATCTGGTCTAATACTTTTCCTAAGTAGCTAATATCTCCTTCATTTTAACTTGAATTTTAGATCCTACAAAAAATGGGTTCATTCTCATCTACAAATTAATTTTCACTTTCACATATTTTGATCAACTACCACCATCCTACAAATTTACATTCATACCATTATGGTCTATTTTCATAATGCAATAAATATAATTTTCAATATCATCATGATCTATTCTCGTAATTCACTTATTAGAAAAATATATCAAAATGGATGTCATTTTTGTATAATATTGTCCAAAAATATTTCAAATTCAAGTTAAAACTAATTAGATATGGTCTATTTCAATGAAACATGGTACATAACTTTTGCGTTGATGCACTATATCTCATTCATAATTATGACATTTGATGTATTTCTACAAATTATTTTTTTTTAGATAAGGGTGATATAGGTTATATTTTGTAATTAGATACTACTGAAGGGATTCGAACCTGGGACCTCCAGGTTCAAGGCTAGTAGTATTACCACTAGACCAATCCCTTGTTCGTCGATGATCGTTTCTTATTATAGGTGATGAAATCCAGTGCGGACAGTTGTCAAATTGGTATTGTCGTTGAGCGCGTGTTCCCAGATCAAGGTGTCTGTTAGGCTTTATTTGAAAGATTGGGGTTGAGAATGAGCAATCGCTTTTTTTGCGGGACCTGATTTATTGGATTATTGATCAGGCCATGCTTTGGCTTATCGTGTCTAACAAAAAGTACACTTATTTTTTGTGGTATTAGTGGTAGTTGGTTGAAATTTAATATTTCATAAGGTAGCCAAAAATCAAGTTATGAGCGCATTTATTCAGAGTGCTTTACATTTATTTTAGGAATGACTAGAGACTTATTTATCCGAATTTGTATGACTGTGATTTAAACCTTTTCATTACTATTAAATTATTTACACATTCACAAACATTAGCCAATTCTCAAGTCACACAATTCAATGAACATGGGTTGGCGCTCCTACTTTAGAGCACAAAAATATGAACTTGGAGAAATCGAAAAACATTCGCTAATTAGTAGATGTTATCCAAAGACAATTAGCGGTTGTTTCACCAGAGACAAAATACATGTGTGTATGAGAGTAATTACAAAAAATAATTGACTAGAGTACAAGCTCTCTGTAGGGTTTAGATTAACATACTAATATCTGTCAATCACTAGCGATCCACTAAGACTCAATGGAATTTAACTTCTCTACATATGTTGTGAACTCAGGCGAATTAAGAGCTCCATACCATATTGGAATAGATAGATTTGATGAGATTATTGAGGTCTCCACTGATCCAAAGATTTTTTTTGGACCGGTATACGGATTTTTTTATTAGAATCCTATTATTTTGTAAACGATACGCTTTTGATAGAAGGGAAAGAAGGTTTGACGTTAGATGACTAGGAAAATTTGGAAGATGATGGATAACAGTACGACAATGGGGTGCAGTACTAGGATGACATTTGGGGAACTTAGGGGTTGAGGCGTGAGTGGTATAAGGGTACATTTATTTTTTCTTTTCTGTATAAAAGTTAAAAACACAATGAATTTAGACAATTTTAAATAATAAGAAAAGGTAAATGTATGTATAAATAGGTAACAATTCATTCAAATAAGTTATTATTTTTTTTTTATTCTTGATATCGATGTATTTATTGAGTTAAAAAATAGGTTTTGTCGTATTTTTTTTAAAATGTGCTAGTATATTCAATAATTTTTTAATAAAAATATGAATGCTTTATTAATGCTTTGAATGTACAATGAAAAAATAGACGATATCCCACTCTCGCTCACTCTCTAGTTCCATACGTCGATAATTTAAAATAATTTGGCCAACGCGTCGAGTCAAAATCTAGTTATACATATTTATTTATTTGTTTTAATTTTTATATGTTTTTAAAATAATTTATTCAACTTTTTTCCTAGACTTAGATTTAGCAAAGTACTTTAAATTTTTACCGTTGGTTGTTGGATCTAAGGATCGAACATAGAAATTTGATGAATGTTCTCATCCCAACATTGTGACTAAACCAACCCCTTCAAGTTAAGTATTTTAATTACTCAGCAGGGTTTCTTACAAAAAACATTAAACATGTTGGATTAAATCATTATCATATCAACATTTCACATCCTTCAGCCTATTTAAGTAAGCCCAAATATTACTTCCGGTAATATCTATTAATTAACCAAATCTTTTTCGAATTTTTTTATTTCATCCAAATCTATTGGAATACTATTTATTAACCAAACATTAAATCTCCATTAACTTTTCCGTTTAATGATGGTGAGCAGTCATATGTGGCGCTGAGTTGGAAGGAATATGCTCACGTGGAAGTAAAAAAATGCCACATCAGGCAATCAACCATTGATCATTTTTTTTTTTGCATTATTTTTTAATACCCAAACCTATTGAATTACTAATAATTAGCCAAATGTTAACTTTCAAGTACCAAAATTGTTAGTAATATTGACTTGGCAACATGATACTGAGTTGAAAGAGACACATGGAGATCAACATTCCAAAATTCTAGTATTTTAACAAAGAAAATAGTTACAAAATTATTATCGATAATGTATGAATGACTAATAAAAAAGAATGCGAGAAAGGTTTGGCTAATAATTAGTGTTTACCCAATTTATTTTATTCATTGATGAGGTGGGAGCTGAGTTGGACGTTAAGGAGGAGCACCGTTAAAAAATAGTTAACGATAACGAATTAATGGCTATTACTTGGACGTCTTACATACCAAACGTTTGACTAATTTTTAGTACTTCGATAGATTTGACTACTAAAAAAGAATCTAAAAAATATTTGACTAATAAATAGTCATTACCATATTTCTTTGTTAGCTCTTTTTTCACCTCTCTCATTAGGTAGTCCAAATAGAATTATGATTTATGAGTTTATTATTCTATCAATCTTTGAAAGGATTTTATTTTTCAGTTAAAAAAATTCTTCATTTTTTTGTCAATGTTTTGTTGAAAGCTACTTAACACTGTTATGCCAACTAATAATGATATAAGCATATGAAAATTATGTAACATAAGTTTTCAAATAGAACTCAGTGAAGATGATCGAAAACTTATGATTTCGTTTATCAGTTTACTATCCACCTGTAAAAGGAAATATATACAACCAAATAGTACATCAGAAATTGTATGTATAAAATATTCGTTATTTTCGTAAGAGATTTTAAGTAAAATGATTATATAAAATCTAGGATAAAATTAAAACATAAATACCAAAAATCACAGACAACACCCCAATATTGACGCTGATAAGAATATTTATCAAAACCTTATATTTATTTTAACAAACTCATTTTATAATACATTATTTTTTCTTTTTTATATTAAACTATGAATAAGGGGGTTCAGTCCAGTGATGTGTTGTATAGAATATAAATCTAGATTCAAATCCTTTATGTAGTACCTATATATAGAATATAAATCTCAAATATTACTAATTTATGCTGGACTTTTAAGCATATATATTATTATGTTAAAATGATGTGTTGTATCATTAAGATAATATATGATTGTCATATTTTACCCGTTATGTGTGCTTCAAAAAATAGCATCGTCGATTATAATATTTTATTAAATTGATTGTTAAACTTTGGGATGAGAAAATCGGAGGATGAGATTTATCCATCGAGAGCTGAGAATATAATACCATACTTCTAAAGCTAAACAGGGTCATTTCAATATGAGTTCCTGGAGTATCACATAGTTCAACAGCATGTTGGAGATATATATAGAGAGAGAGAGGGAGAGAGAGAGTTGACTTTGAGCATAAGCATCTTTATTTGCATGTCTTAATTTTTTATTTACCATATAAAGTGAGATTAAGTGCAGTTGACAAATTACAATTATTATTTGAAAAATATAGCTAGTGTACGTTACAGTAGCGAATTAAATTAATTTGGAAAAGAAAGCACAAAGAAACAAATCAAACTAATTACAAGAAGAAATTAATTGAAAGAAGGAATAAAAAAGGGGGGGAAAAAGGCGTTCATGGAATTAAGAAGATGAATTAATCAGATTCAGACATAGTAGTTACGTTACGTAAGAACGTACCTTTGGGGCGGTTGGTCCGGTCCATATGGGCAAGGGTGTCCCATGCCTCCTTGGCGGAAGTGATGCCCCGAATCTGGTACAGCAGGTCGGAGCCGCACGAGATCTGAATGGCGTGCAGAGCCGCCGCGTTGAGACTCGCCGCGCTCTCCGATGAAGATTCCGGCAGCCCGTTCACGAGCAACTCCCACAGGTGTTGAGACCGGAAGTAGCTTTCCAGGCATACCCGCCAGTTCTCGTACCTTTTGTCTCCTACAGCCTCAAGAACACTCCTGCTCGGCACAATGACGTTGCCGCTGCTACTCGCCATTATTGAACTAGATCTGAGACACAGACAGACAGACAGACAAACAGACAGACAGGGAAGGCTAATTGTAATGTGCACTCGTACGTTCTTTCGGGAAATGAAAGGAAGGGAAGGGAACAAATTTATAGACTGCCGCGTCCCTTTAAGTCTTCTATCTTGCAGGTCAACTCGTCTATATCACCGTAATTAACCAGCTATTCCTCGCAGAAATAAAACAAAAATTATAACCACTTTGATTTCAACAAAAATTAAGAAAACTAAAACACGACTTATTCGGTAAGTCTTTTTATTTTATTGCTTAAAATGTAAATGCCGAAGCTAGAGAGATTAATATGCAGGAGGCAAACAATTAATTCATGCCACTGGGAAATTTATTATTATTTTATTAAACTACTGGAACCCATGATTTCATTCTAAATTAAAATTTGACACAGAATTTCATCTTCTCCAGATTTTTCCCATTCAAAGCTGACGGTAACGTAACAATGGAAACAGAGGAGAGCAAAATGAGTTACAAAGTTAACTTCTTTTATAATTAAGGATTACATATGTTGCCTTTTAATTTTAAATCTTACTTACAGAAGTAAAACATGCAACTTTCAAATTGAAAATTAGTAGCAGTACTACTAGACCAATTCTTTGTTCGCAGAAGCATATAGTTAATTAGACGATGTATTCGATTTACGATTTAATAAATTACCTCAAATTGACATAGCTAGATTCTGAATGGAAGACAAGTTTATCCATCATCAATAACGTACATAATGAAATTATAGTTGTCTAAGGCTTTAAGGACTGAATATGTAGGAGAGTAATAATTTGCGACGAAGAAAAATATGAAATTTTAGTGAGGATGTGTGTCGCCTATGGTGATTAATTTGTGGTCAATTTCAAGTATGTTGTAAACGTAACGTTGGTCAACTGTACGTGCTACTAATTAATGTGCTCGACCGACTTTGTATACAAGATTTTTACAAATGATAAATTTATGTAGATCGATGGTTATTTATTATTAATTTTCGGCTGATTTAATATTGGTTAAAATGTATTCTTGTCCTTCAATGTTGAAACCATTTTAGCAGTGTATGTGTAGTCTTAGCAACTCCAATGTTAATAAGATCGACAATAAACGGGTCACTGATTGTGAAAATTATACGATAGATCATTATTTTGCCTTTACTCCGGGTTTCGCATTTTATTCTTATCAACAACTGTTCGATGAAGTATAATTAACTTTTACTTGAGCTTGGGAACAAGTAGAATCCTGCCTTTAATTATTATCAGAGTCAGTTATATAAATACAAATAAATGGACAGATAAGCTAACCAGATTCGAAATTGCATTTCCTGAATAAATAATAAAAATATGCAAGCTGTCTTCTCCATCCCAAAACCCAAGGATTATTATTATTTTCAAGTTAAAGCGTGATGTCAGTTGTAGTTCATAATGCCGACGTCACGCTGAGTGATGTACTCCAATATAAATATAATTAGTTTCCATTGGTTGGCAATTAATGGGAAGTTTATACGAGGGTCGGCCTGTGGTTTGAGTCTGTGTCCGGATAAAGCTTGTGAAGCTCAACGTTTCAAGATAGGGTGCACAACTATTAGTAATCAAATTTACATCATTTTTTTAAGTAGATGTAGATCTAAGGGTACAGAATTAAAGGAATTTATTTTCCCTAGTTTTCTTGATTGGATCATATTTTCTTCATTCTAACTCGGATTTCAATTTTTTCTTTTTTTGCACGGATGGAACGAGTTTGTTGTGCTCTACCAAATGATATCTATTTTCAATATTTTTTAGAAAAAAAAATATACCTCTCTTTACCAACTCCATACCATATGGTATCTCCTTCGTTTTTTAGTTGTTTTCGAAATTTTTTGCACAAAAGGAACGATTTAATCATGATCTATTGGATTAATAAGTGAGTGCACCGAAGTAGCAACCTATATATATGGTGGCGTATTCGGTGCACCCACTTCATCATATTAGATTAAAATAAATAGTTCAAAATTTGATGTATTCTGGTCATTTTTAGCGCTGCGTGCGTTGAATGCACTCAAATGAGTGAGTACACCGAAGTAGCAACCTATATATATGGTGGCATATTCGGTGCACCCACTTTTTTTTGGTGCATTCAATACACTCGCCTCATAATTGTCATTCCGAGCTTGCAATTCATGTCAAAACAGTACCAATTGTCGCTTATGATATTATGAACAAGAAATACATGAATTTGAAAAAAATTCATTCAAGATTTACTTTCATTTGAAGGATTTAGGATTTACGAATTTAGGGCTAGGGTTTAGGTTTACAATTTAGGGTTTTGAGTTGAGATTCAAAATTGAAGGTTAAGGGATTAGGGTAATTGATTGATAAGTTGTGATTCTATGTTATATCATCATATTAGACTAATACTACCAATTAAAGTTCAAAATTTGATGTATTATGATCACTTTTAGAGTCAATGCACCCAAAAATTGAGTGCACCGAAGTAGCCACCAATATATATGGTGGGATATTCGGTGCACCACTTTTTTGGGTGCATTAAATGCACTCGCCTCACAATCGTCATCCCGAGCTTGCCATTCATGCCAAAACAGTATCAATCGTCGCTTATGATATTGACCGGTTCAATCCGTGCAAGATATTGTCAATGGTTAGCACGTGTCATCAACTACCACATCCTAAGCCAAGTTTAACTTAAGATGTAATTGTCGTATAGTGGCAATCAATGTCATATTTTACTCGGGTCCTGGTAACCTAGCCTACTTCCCACCTAGTTGCTAATTAGTTAATCGGTTTTGGAGGTCTGAGTGGAGGACTTGAGGAGATAACTAGACTAGAGATTGATCAAAGCTAAAAGCAGATACTTCGGGGAACTAATCCTCCCCCTAGCAGGGTCACTATGCATGTATAAATACCTAAGGTTATCGAATGTGAGGAGTGAGCTCTTTTCCGTGGGCTTTCGTGGTTATCCACAAGCCCCCGAGTACGCCTCCCCTAAACCAATATATAGTCACCTCGATCTAGGATTTTGTATCTAGGCTATCGTATTTCAATGGACACTATATATCCACCGTCCACACCGAGGTTTTATTCCGAGTTATATCTAGGAAGGCTAACCTACGACAGGGGGTTCGGTCGCCTGGCCACAATAGGTCCCTATTCATACATCCAATACCCAATGTATAACCATAAAGTAGGCTAATAGAGAAGATTAGGGCGACTTACCCAAACACAATCAATGATAGAATAGAAATAGAATCAACTAGATTAAAACACTCATTCATTCAAACCCTAAAATATTCATACATACATAATAAACTCTAAAACTAGTATTTGGGGTTTAGAACCCCTAGTACCTTAGAGGACTACTCCATAAAGGAGGGAAAGAAGAAACATAGAAGAAATTGAAGAAGATTTGGGTTGAGGAAGATGCTCCCTCTCTTCTAGCTCCTCCTCCGTCTTCCTTCTCCTTCCTTCAGCTTCCCTCTCTTCTCTCTCACTAAAACTAGAAAATTCTCTCAAAATCAGCTCATCTAAAAGGGGGAAGGGGTCTTCTATTTATAGGCAATATGTGGATGGAGAAGTTCGCGGTCTGAGCTCTCCAATTCGCTGCCGCAATCTGTGGCTTCCAGGCTGTGATTTTCAGCTTGCATTCGCAGGCTATCTTCCGGCCATGATCTTCAGCTTCCAGGCCACGTTCTTCAACTTCCAGGCCACGATCTTCAGCATCCTGCCCCTTTGGTACACTTGTGATGTTTTGTACCTAATTCGCATATATAGTCTAATACACCCTAAAATCAGACCGAATTCACATAGGAACGAAATAGGGATGTAATCGACGATGTTCAAGCAACTATACACATGAATTGGCATGAAACAAACCTTGATATGAGGGTTAGATAACACTAAATTAGGTGTTATCAAACTCCCCCACACTTAGGCGTTTTCTTGTCCCCAAGCAAACCTACTTAAACCAATACAACATGATAGATAGATTAATGGGGAATGCACTCTAGTTATTCATTGCATAGAGGAGAGTAAACGGAGATGGTTGAACGTTACTATCTTCCTATTGTGCTACAGAAGCTCCCAGGTGAGGTCGTGAGGACCATTCTTACTACCTTAGACCGAACAATTGAGGTGTGCTCTGGGGGATTCTCATACAACAAACACGAAGTAGAACTCTTGAAGGTGCTATTTATTCTCTCTTTAGATTTAGGATTTGTCATTTATTGGTCTCCTTTATCTGACATTGACGCGCATTGCACCAAGCTTTTGCAATTCTTTTGCAATCAAGCATCTCTCACTCATGACCAAGAGAGGATTAATCATAGCCTTCCTTTTCAAGGTCACATGTGGGGAAGTTGATGTGTGGATTCGTCTTAGCCCGAGCACCACTTCCCAGCTGCACTCCACATTGGGTTGTCACACATTTTGGGTACAAAGGAGAGCTATGAGGTCTCATGAATCGCTAAAAAGTACTTCGGACCTTGGCATACGATTCCATGAGGAGGAAAGATACTTGGGGGATGGTAAGTAGTGAAAGATGGTTGGGACCACAGTAAAGCTATCCGATCCCCGAGAATATCCTTAAAGGGCACTTCGAATCCGTGAGGATTGGTTGCCTCCCACGTGAGCCTCATTTACAAAAAGATGTTTCACTCTTTTTCTTTCTTCTCTAATATGCACAAACATGTCAAAGCTTTGAGTTCACTAGACACAAAAGAGAATCCCGCACACATGTTCTTCCTAAAATAGCATATATCATCGACTCACAAAAGAAGAAGATAGTAAAAGTACCCACACACCGGTACTCTAAGCATGCAACTATCACCTGGTGAGCATAACACATCAATCATATAACAAATTAAAGTAAATTGAGTAGGGAGTTGCAAGGAACAATGTGTTTTGGAACCCTCAAATTTGAATTTTTTTGGGTAATAGCATTCAAGGTTCCAAAACACTCTCATTTGACCATTGATCACCACAAC